TCATCAATTTCTGTGAATGCATCGAATCTGACAAATGCAAGCAATCACAAGACTGCATAAATCCTAACTTTCAACAAATGTAAAAAACTTTTCATTTGCTGAAAGTTAGGTTTTATGCAGAAGATCCATTGATTACTTGTGTCTATGAAAAACCTCTTCCAGCCATAACTAGAGAAACAAAAAAAGAAAATCCAGCCATGTTGCCACTGTTGTTTCAAGAAAAAATGTGGAAAAACTTCTTGCTATACTGAAAGTTGCTCAAGGGACAGAAAATTTAATTTCACAGGTACATGCAGCAATTACTGTAAAACTAAAAGATTAAACTGTTAGAATACCATTTACAGCATCAAACACAGGTTGTGTTCTGTTAGAAAAAAAGCTGCAAAAAATTTTCTTTGGCTTGTAGACACTACATCTATTTTTATAAAACTGACCCAAATACTTTACCATTTTGTAGAATCAAACAATATTAGCCTCTAATTGATCAACATGTATATACATCATGCAACAATAGCTGTCTCTCTCAAGATGTCGAAGGACACTAACAGTGGTTATGCTGTTTAGTGCATTTATTGTTTATTAAAAAAGTTGAAATTTATCTAATATTCTACAAATTTGAACTTGTTGATGCAGTTTAGAATATTGTCTGATTACTTAGGAACTTTATATGACTTATAACCATTCCAAAAGAAACAAAAAAAAAACCATTAACACCCAACCAATGTGTTTTATTGAAAGAATTAAATAAAAAAGATTTAAAAAATTACTTTTTATTTACATTGCTAATTAATTTTTGTAGCTAATTAAAAATAGTTTGGTCCAAAATAGGTCTAAATACATTTTACCCACCAAATCACTCATAAAAACATGAAGCTTTGCCATTGTCCAATTAAATTGTTGTATTCTGATGGCTCTGACATATTGTGATGTCTTACATAAACACGATAGTGGTGAATTGTTGTATTCTGATGGCTCTGTTGTATTGTGATGTCTTACATATACAGACATAGTGGTGTAGTGGTAGAGTACTCGCCTCATAAGCAAGAAGTTATGAGTTCAATTCTTACCACACCCCTGGTAATACCGCACTTAACTCCATGTTTCTCGGTGCAGCGGCCTTGTTTGCCTAGGTTCTTGTTTCGGAGTCATAGAGTTGAGAGTGGGTTGTAACCACAAAAGTAGCCTCGTTGACTGTAGTGGTCCTCTTGACCTTGGGCAGGTGAATAACTTAAAAATATATATATATATATATATATATATATAATACAAGTTTCATATTATTTGCACAGCAAACATTGTAACTATTCAGATCTTAAATTTTCAATTGAATTCTTTATCATATTTTAGAAAAGTACTTAGTTTAAAATGATCTCATAAACATTTAAAAAATCTTTTTATCAATTTCGAAATTAAAATTAATTTAAACAAATAAGTATAACAAATATTTTTTACCACATAAAATAAAAAACTTTTTTATTTTATGTGGTATTTAATAAAAATACTTGCAGTATTTTTATTAAATACTACATAAAATGAAACGAATAAGTATAACAAATATTTTTTACCACATAAAATAAAAAACTTTTTTATTTTATGTGGTATTTAATAAAAATACTTGCAGTATTTTTATTAAATACTACATAAAATGAAACTTGCAGGCTTCATTTTGAAATTTTAAAAAATGCAAAAATTACATAAAAGGACTAGACGGAGCTGTCAAGTGAATTAAGAAAAAAAAATAAGAGAGAAAGGATAAAAAAAAATTAAAAAGATATTTTGAACAGAACAAAACAAAAACTATAGTAAAGTGTATAGCAAAAAAATAATAACAGATTATAAGCATCGCGCATATGATAAGTATGATAAACTCAGACTCCTAAGGGAAAATCATGACCATTGCGCAAGGTCTAAAGAAATAGAATATAAAATACAAAGTTAATATATATTTGTGGGTATGTAGATATTTAGATGTGTGTATGTAGTATATATATATATATATATATATATATATATATATATATATATATATATATATATATATATATATATATATATATATATATATATATATATATATATATATATATATATATATATATATATATTAGGCTGGGTCATAAGATTTTTTTTTCTTGTTACAGGCTCTAAACATTGTGTATAGTTATTAATAGTGATACTATCAAATATGAGAATGATTGTAATAGATTTGAAGGGCGCAACTTTATTGGGAAAATTACCGGTTCCCTATTATTTTAGAGAAAATTTTTTTTTCAAAAGTAAGTCAACCTGGTACTCAAAAGAAGTGAAATTTTATAAGAAATTTGAAAATTATAATCGTTTTATAAAACCATAGTGCCGAAAAAAAATGTTATTAAAAAACTTGTAAAAATGCACTCTTTTTATTTTTAATTAAAAAACCATTCTGTTATTTATACAATAAAATCTAAAATAATAATTTTTATATGAGAAAGAAAATATTTTTAAAATTTTTATAAAATTTCGCTTTATTTGAGTACCAACATATAATTTTGAAAAACTTTTTTTTTGAATAATAATCAGGGCCTGATGTTGGCACCTGATGCTACCTTAGATGTGAGAATATCTGGAATATCATTAATGTAAATTAAAAAGAGTATAGGGCCAAGGATTGAACCTTGAGGAATCCTTGAGGTTACAGAATAAGAAGAAGTGTGCTGTCCATCAAGGACAATTTTTATATTACGATTGGAAAGAAAGGATTCAATAATCTTAAAGATGTTTCCAGATACACTGTAAGAAGAAAGCTAATGGAGAAGACCAGCATGCCAAACTTTATCAAATGCTTTAGAAATATCCAGAGTAATGGCCTTAACCTCTCCACCTTTATCTAATGCATGATAAAACCTACTTGTTATTACTATTAGCAAATCAGCCATAGAACAAGAAGATCAAAATCCATATTAATGATCAGAAAGTAAGTTATTAGATTCAAGATGAGAGATTAAGTGTTTGTTATTTTTATTAATTTTATTAATTAAAGATTTAAAAACCTTGCTTATGATAAGAAGAAGACTAATAGAACGGTAATGAGACGAATCATATCGCTCTCAAGAATTTTTAAAAATAGGGATAGCAGGCTGGAAAACAAGACTCAGATAAGTACTTGTTGAATAGTTTTGAAAGGATAGAAGACAGCTCTGGAGAACACTTTAACAAGCAAGACTATAACAGGTATGTTGTCTGGGCCACAAGCTATGGTAGATTCTAATCAGGAAATCACTTTAGATACAAAAGCTAGAGTGATAGAACGCAACAAGTGGAATTGAGAGATGTTATTGATGAAAAGTTCTAAGCAAACAATTCAGATTTGTCTTTAGGTGAGGTGACAAAGTTTGAACCATACAAGAGAGGTGGAATTACACATTTGCCCTATTATTGATACTATTAAAGATTTTCCAGAAGTCACAACAGCTTAACTTTTGTGATGAAATACAAGATTTCATGACCTGAGAATAGTGGGCTTTGGCATTACACAAAACATTTTTACAATGGTTCCTAGCAGTAATAAACAGACACCTATTTTCTGGAGAATTGTTTTGTTGATTGATATGGAAGTAATGGTTTTGATTGGCAAATGCAGCAGCACAATGTAAGGAAAACCATGGAGAAGAGTGAGGCTTGACCTGGAATTTTCAAGAGGGAATAAAGGATTCCATGGCAGCCTGAATCCACGAAGTTATGTAAGAAGCACATTTGTCAACAGGAAAATGAAAGATTTCTACCCAAGGGCCATCATGAAGAAAATCACGGAATGAGTCCAATCAGCTTTAAGGTAGTTGTAAGATGTTCGATGATAGTGGGATTCTGATGATAAAGAAGAATGAGATAATAGTTTTAAAGAGATCAAACTGTGATCAGAGGCACCTAAGGGTGAATATGGAGAAACTGAGCACTGACTAGGACAGAAACAAGACATAAGTCGAGTAGAGATGGTAAATGATTCAGGTTGTCTGAAAAGCGAGTTGGAAAGTTGACTATTTGAGTTAGGGATTGAGAAAGGCAAAAGTTGTGAGCTTTAATGCCTGCAGAGTCACTGACACTAAAGCCAAGCCATTCAGTGTGATTAACATTAAAGTCACCAACAACAACAATGTTGGCTGATGGATAACGAGAAAGGGCTCGGTCAATATGATCAGAAATAACATTAAGAAGAGTACAGTCTTGAGATGAAGGAGGGCGATATAGAACAAAGAGAAAGGCGATAGAGTGAAGTGGTGCTAAACTAAAGCACATAAAAGAGTAGTCTGTGGATTCAAACCTAGTTTTCCAACAAATAGGTGAATTCTTACGAATGTAAATTCCCAGGCCAAGCATGTTATTATTGGAGTCTTTACGAATTAAAGGAAGATAACCATCAACACTTAGATCTCAAGATGAGACAGCTGAACTCAAATTAGTCTTACAAAGAGCAAGTAGGTCTGGTAAACTTCGCAAGAACTAAGACTCAACAGAAGAAAAGTTACTTCGAAGACCACGAATATTAGGTTTAGCGAACTTGGTGATGACAGTGGTTTTTTGTGTTTTATAGTTTTTGTTACTTTATTCATTTTTAAATTTGTTAAAGAACTTGACTCGAAGCATAGATAATACTCAGTATACTGTTTAAGAGCCCAAGCAATTGCCTCATTACTATTAATAAACCCTAAGCCATAACAAAGAGCTTCAATGTGGCCTTGGCACATTATTTTTTTGGCATTTTATTGCATTGTCATAACCTAAAGTTATGTCATATAAAACAAAAATAAACTATACCATTTATAACCAATAAGAGACTACAATAAAAAGATTATGATTGTACCAGTTCATAATTCTCTAGTTACAATTTAATCTTTGGATTTTTCTATTTGCATCAGATGATTTATAAAGTATTAAGTTATGACAAATAAAAGTTGTCAACTAATCACCAGTTTGTAAAATATTTTGCAATTTTTATGAACAGTAAGAAAAAAAAAAGAACTTACTTGGTGATTGTATGTGTACAACACTTTCAGCTATGCGATCAAAAGCTATGTTTGGGTCAGCACTAGGATTTACCTGAGTAAAAAAAAACAAAAACTTAAAAAAAAAAAGAAAATTAAAAGGTTTAATAACTTTGGGAGTCTGTTTTCTAATGTTTATTGATATGGTAACATATATTTTAAGTTAAAAATTATAAAGTTAAAATTGAAGTTAAAAAAAATAAAAAAGACAAAAAAATTTTAACAACTATTTTTAATAACTTCATAAGTAGCCATTAATAAGGTTTTAGAAAAATCATTAAAAAATTTCTTTGGTTTTGAAAAAATGATTGGGCGCAAATGAATAATTATGGTTAAAACACTAGAATCAGGTGATCACCATTAGGGTTTTGACGTTTTAAATTATCGTTTTTTAAATAAATATTTAAAGTAAAAACAATTTTTAGATGGCAACTATAAAAGTAATTTATTAGATATACTAAAAAAAATAATTAAAAAGTATAATAAATTTGGGAATTTGGTTCCTAATTTTTATTGACATGGGAACATATATTTAAAGTTAAAAATTAAAAAAAAAAAAAAAAAAGATGAAAATTTAAATAACTCTAACTAGCCATTAATAAGGTTTTTAAAAATATCATTAAAAAATTTCTTTGGTTTTGAAAAAATGATTGGATGCAAATAAATGATTGTGTTTAAGACACTAAAATCAGATCTCTCTAAAAGATCAACATTAGGGTTTCTTATTTTCCCTCAAATTTTGCCACCTGGGATTCCAGGTGCATAGTTTTCTATATTCCGGGATTCTCTGGGATCCCAGCATTATTTTTTATTTTATTTTATCTAAATACACAATTTAAATATAATAACAAACTTTTTTTGGTGTTTCTAGTACAAATTTATATTAGCATAATCATCCAAATTATTTTTGAATTAAAAAATTGTCTAAAAAAGCAAAACTAATCAATTGATTTATTACTTAATCGTGAACAAAGTTTTCTTATAAATAGTTCTGTTGCAGATTCGATTAATGCAATCAAAGCAATGAAAGCGATTTTCTGATTCAATTGATTTTGGCTTAATGGCCATTTACGCTGAGTATATGTTGACTAAACTTTTGCTAAAATTATTCTCAGAATATTGCGACTGTGAATCACCTTCAACACCTTTTGCCTCTGAAGTGATCAATTTATTGGAAAATCTAGACCTGCTAGATATTTCTTTTGCTATTTCCAAAATCACACTTTGTTTAGCAAAATCATGCTGTTTTTTTATCATGTTTATAACATGGGTTAGGATTTTTGGGTGATGCCATATCTTTTTCAGATAATGATTTTCTAATAAATTTATGAAGAAGTCGTTATACATTACTAGCTAAAGTAAAAAATTACTTCTAATGATTGTTTACAATAGATTTATCTAAATTATCAAAGAATATTATAAGTAATTTCATTTTAATAAATATGTTTTTTTTATAAATCTTTTCAAACTTTTTTAATTAATAATTTTATAAGCACTTTCAATAACTTTGGCACAAAAACAAAATTTATGTAACATAACTCAAATTTAATAAAAAAAAAAAAACTACTGATTTCTATATGCAATAATATAACTAATATGTTAAAATTTTTCTAAAAAAAATTTAAAATTTATAAAAACCATTGGACAAAAATTTAAATAAATACTAAGTATATTTTAAAATAATAACGATTTAATGTCCAATGTCTGGTGGCTATTACAAGCCCTGCATTTATACACAAACATGTAATACATGCTTTTTTGATCAGGTTTTTTTTTGGTATATTAATCAACACTTTATGTGAGAATCTTTAATTTTAGTAGGAATCCTAATTAACTAGTTTTTCATAAAACATTTATCTTCTGATGATTAATCAATCAGAAATCCTTCACAAACTCTCTCAATATCTATCTATTCCGTAGTTTTGCTTTGGATACTAAATAAGTTTTTTTCTTCGAATAATTTGTTAATTGTTGGAAAGTTGATGCCTTTTGAAACAAAAAGAATCCCTAACTTTTTATTTGCCTTTCCTCAGTGTAAAAAAATGCATTGGAGCTATTAATTCATCTATGTCAAAAACATCTGTTGTTTAAAAATGGCTTGCAAAAAGTGCTATGCTAACACAAGAAACGCTAGTATTTGTGTATTAATTCTGTATAAGAGATAAACTAATAACTGGTTAACATTCAACTCTGGTCAGGCAAATAGAAAGGAAAAGTTCCTGTATCCTTTCCATTTTTCATCTTATCACATAGTGATGTTAATAATTTTGTTTAAATATATAATGAAATAAAAATAAAATGTAAATGTGCTTTAAATACATTTACATTTCATTTTCATTTCATTTTATTTTTAGTCTAAAAACAAATAAAATTGAATCTTTTTATCTTACTTTACTTTAAAACACACACACAAAAAAATCAAATGAATAAATTAAAAACCTAATATTTTTTTTTGATTTTTAAAATGTGTAAGTTAAAAAATAAACTTGTTAAATAATTATATAACATTAATAATAAAAACAATACCTGCATAAAAAAAGCCAATATTGCCAGTCCGTCATTTTGTTGCATGGCAACTTTAGGGTTAGTATACTTATCATTTTTGAAAACAAAATGAATCTAAAATTTAAAAAATCTTAAATAAACTATTATAAAGTAACTTATGTCATCATGTAAGTGTGTACATACAAGCTTCAGTAATGGATCTTGTAAAAATATAAATACAAGATGTAATATGCAAACCTGTTAACGATTGCACAAAAAATATCCAAGTATAAAAGAAATTTTTTTTCAAGAAATATATAGTTTTTTATTAATGATTACCAAAAACAATTATTTCAAAAATTTTTACAAAAAATAAAAAAATATCTTACTTCACCTGAAAACCATTCACCATCCAGTGTGTGCTCAGAACCTCTTTGCCCATCACAACCAAAATGTAAATGAAATTGTTTTAATGTATACACATCATCAGAAAGAACGCCACCCGTTAATTGAGCAGATGCTGAACCTTCCGCAATATTAAACCCAATAGTTTTACCATTGTTTATGAGTTTCCCTTCCACTACTATAGGTCCACCATCATCATCATTTACAGATAATTTCAATGGATGATTGAGTGGTTTTGTAAGAGCATTAAAAGTTACAATATTAATTGGTGATTGGTTAAGACCATTGCATTGCGGGGATATTTTGTGCCATTCTTCTGGACCATAAGCTTTAAAAAAAGAAAAAGTTATATAAATTTATTTAAACAATTGTTTAAATAAATTTAAAATTGTTTAAAATTTTAAATTAAGATTTAACTTTTTTCAAAAGCTTTTCTTCTATCATTTTGTTTTTTGTTTTTCTAAACAGTTTTCAATAATGCTATTCCTTCAATTATTCAATAACTATTCCTTCTAATATTGCATATTTTATGAACCTCAGTGATTTTAATTCTTATGCCATCCTTTAGGCAATCTTTAAAAAGTTTTCTAATAGTATCTACTTTTTTCTCTAGAATCAGAGATTTTGATACATAATCTTATATATATTTACACTTTAGGAAAGTGTTTTCTTCATAATCAAGATAAAATGTGGTAGTGGTGTAATCATGGTCAAGATAAAATGGGGTAGTGGTAGAGCCTCATAAGTTAATTTTGAGTTCAATTCCTACCAAATCATTAGTAATACCATGCTTAACTTGTTTCTCCACGCAGCATCCTTGTTCATCAAGGTTCCTGTTTCAGAGCTATAAAATAGCCTCCTTGAATGTAATAGCCTTCATGGCATTGGGAAGGTAAATTAACATGAAAAAAAAAGAAAGAAATAAATTTGCTGGAATGCATAGTGGTCTGAAAAACTTGATTTTTAGTCAAAAATTAAAAAAAAAATCTGTAATTTTTATTATTATTATTATTTTTAAACACAACATCCATTCTATTCAAAAATATATAGGTTTCATATTTTTTCTTGAAATAAAAGTCAACAACTGTATCCAAGAACGATTAAAAATTGATGAATAATTTCTTGCAAAAATACAACATTTTTTTATTTGTGTATAAATTTGTAACTGTATGCACATATGTATAGATTTTTTTTAAAACAAATGTTATAGTATAGAGTTTAATTTGAAATAATAATAACTTTTTATTATTGTTTTTTTGCATAAGTTATTTATGTCTAAAATTAGCATAAAATAAAAGTTTTTTCTTCAATTTTAACTTCTTCCTTAAAATGAAATCCAAAATATACCTATTTTATGTTATCAAAAATACTAGTGTTTCTACTTTTGTTTTATTTTTATAAATACATATTCAAAAACATTATTTTTTTCTTCATACAATCATATTTGCTACCTAAATTATCAAAAATAGTTCAAATGTTCATTTTTATTTCATTTTTATAAAATATTCCATATAATTAAATAAATGAAAATATATGTAAAATGCAAAGTCTGCTATTAAAACATACTTATAGTATATTTTGAACATCTACTATTATCTTAATAGTTCCTAAAAAAATCAGCTGCATATAGTTAAAATAAAGGAACTTATAATCATTGCAAACTATACCGTATTGACACTACATTTGTGTTGTTTTTATACCATATTTTTATTCATATCTTTGTTATTCCGTATTGACAGCTGTAGAACATTTGATGATTTGTGTGGTCAACAACTGAATTTGCATGGTTAAAACAATTAAAATAGGTTTTAATTGCTACTTATAGATAGATAATTAGCGTTATGGTAATGTAATAATAACATACATATAGAGTTATAAATATTCATTTTTGAGGTTTACAATTCTATATAAATTATTGCTAAAATTTGTAAATTTGTAAGATTAGTGGAACTTAATGAACATAAAAGACATTGTGTTTGATTGTTGTGTTGTTTGACAGGTAATTTTTTATGGGGAAAGGAAGGGAGGCAATGCCCTTGTCCCCTTCCTCCCTCTCTTGTTGCAGCTCATATATATATATATATATATATATATATATATATATATATATATATATATATATATATATATATATATATATATATATATATATATATATATATATATATATATATATATATACATATATTTTTTAAGTGACATCGTTAATAATATATTTTATATTTAATTGATTAAAAACATAATATATAAAATTATACTATATAAGCCAAAATATCACCATTTAATAATAAAAATAATATATAACCGAACATGATGTTTTTAATCAATTAAATATGTATATATATATACATATATACATATATATATATATATATATATATATATATATATATATATATATATATATATATATATATATATATATATATATATATATATATATATACACACACATATATATATATATAAATACATACATACAAAACCTTTAAATCAAAAATTGTTTTCAGATTTGGATTCACCATTATTGATTTAGTATATAAAAATCAAAATTTTAATTTTGACCAAAAATCAAGTTTTTTAGACCACTGTGGAATGGTGTGAATATTATATTTGTATATGTTTATGAAAATCTATAATAAAATTGTTTTTAAAAAAAATTCCTGCAATTAGATCCTGGGATTTAAAAAATCTGTAAATTTTGGACCCCTGACCATTTATGGGCACAAGAAGTTATGAAGTTTATATTTTTGTTCTAAACTTGATATAGCTATAACTTTTAAAAAGTATACTTATTGAAATTTTAAATTTTGAATTAGCTAACTAAAAATTATTAAAAACTTTTTTCAGAAATAAAAAAAGTTAGATCTAGATATAGATAGAGGGTCTGAACTCTAGATTTTTCTATGAAACAACTTTATAATTCAAATTTCTATGAACATACAAAAGTTCAGTATTCATATCATTCTTGTAGGTTACAGGGATAAAAAGTAGAAAAGTAAAAACCACCTTGAATTTTTCTGGCAGACCCGAGTAGATACACAAACTACTCCAAACTTCTACTAAGAAACTTAGTTTCCTGTTCTTTCAATGAATGCCACAAATTTATATGATTATTATCCTGTCCATTTATTTTATATGCTGTTAATTATCAAACTTGTCAGCTTTTGTATTACTGCCATTTATTATAACATACTGAATACTCTGCAATGTTTTTTTTTTTCTTTAACAATGAACTTTTTGAAGTTAGAGCGAAAATAACTTTCTGATCATGGCTCACAAACACCACACTCTTGCTTTTAATGTCTGCACCTCTTGATCTAATTATAACCTTTTAATATTAAAATTTACTTATGCATACTATTTTGCAACCTCCACATTTATTACTTCTCTTTTATCATCACTAAATTCTGTTTATCCCCAATATTGAGAATAGTAAGTTATATAACTTTTATGTATTCATGATTATACAGAAGGGAGATAATAATAAACTTTTGGGGAAAAAGAAATACTAGTTAAAAAACTTTAAATATTTATATCACTTGTATTTAGAAAAAAGCCAGTTTTTTGGTTCTTGATTTTTCTCTTTAACAAATTACTACTTTTCTTATTCTAAACACTAAAATAATTTAGATTTTAAAATTTAAAAGCATCTAAAAAATTTTAGATGAAAATTATTGAAAAACTTATTATACCTTAATCAATAAAAAAATTTTTTTTTTATGAAATAACAATAAAAACAAAGAGCTGTCCTTTTTTAATGTAGGAATATTTTTTTGAGCTTTAGAACTTTTACATTTTTTCTTAACTGATATATTAATGTTATAAATTAGAAAAAATATATTAATAGAAGAATAATTAAGAGCAAACTAAAGAATTTTATTTTATGAACGAAATAACACTGCAAAAACCTAAACTGAAGTATTAAAAAAAACTGAAGTAAAAATTGAAAAATTTAAAAGTATTGAGTTATTATTATGTAAAGTAAATTAATGGTGGTATGAAATTTTTTTTATATACTTAAATGAACCAGTTTGTCATAAACAGTAAATTTGATTAATACAATTATTGTAACTGTATTTCACTAAACTGAAATTTTACTTTTTACTGCATTGACCCTAAGGCTGAAGGGGTACTAGAGTTAAAGATGTTATTCATTTTAATTGATATTACAACTCTTTCTCAACACAATAAACTCTGAAACACTTGACAACAAAGTTGTCAAGTGTTTCAGAGTGTTTCAATAAAGTTTTTTTTTAAATAAGTTGTTGCACAGAGAAACAAGTTTAACTAAGAAATATTTCAGAACAATTTTAAGGTGCAATAACTAAGTAGAACTTTAATCAATGAACTTTGATCATTAACAATATTTTTTTAGATTATTAATGTTCTCATACTCACTATGACTTTTTTCAAAACCATTTATACTCTACACATATTGTAATCACTTTTTTAAAAACATCCTTGTTTAACATCATTATGAAAATACAAAGATTTATGACCATGACAATGTAAACTAGGTGGTTGTAAACTTTACATAACTTATTAAAAAAATAGTTTAAATGTTTAAACTTTTTCAGTTTATCAATTTAATACATGCAAGCATATTTGTGGCTTACACAATGTATTTTTAGCAATTAATAGCTTTGTGATTGTACTTTTTATTAAAGGTAACAACTTTTACTTAATTTCTTATAAATTACTTTGTTACAGGTTCCTTATCTTGTTAAGAAATTATATCTATAGCATAAAGTGATAATAAAGAATTTATTAAATAAAAGTTTATTATTAAATAAAAAGACTTACCATTTGGAGTTGATTTGTAAGCCCATGTTAACTTTGGTTGATCTGCTAAACAAAAAATAAAAACTTAAAATCTCTTAATAAGCTGATCTTTTGTTATCATTATTATTAAAGCAAGATGCTCATATAATATTATCAAAGTCTTAAAACAGCAAATCTTATGTAGAGTAGGTAAAAAGTAAATCTTATGTACTTTATGGCTATTGAATTATGGACCATGAACTAAATAATGTTACATTATATAGTTATAATGTTAACTATATAGTGTTACATTATTAATGTATGCTATTGTATAAAAAAAATTCTTTATTTTATGGATCATAAGACAAAGAATTTTTTTCTTATTTTACTCAAAGCTCTTATCTATCACTGATAGCATCAGTCATATTTATAGTCATGGAAAATACATATTTACATAAAAATTAACAATGCATACAGAATTTGCGAATTAGAAAAAAAAAATGTACACATCTAATAAGGTAAACAGTTTATGTATCAATAAGGTAAACATTTTATATATAAGGTAATAAGGTAAACAGTTTATATATTTTTAATTTTTTATACTTAAATAATAATTGAATATACATACAATAGTGAGAAAAAATTACAAATAGTTATAAACTGATGATGTTTAAAGATCTACGATCTTGTAGATCTTTAGTTACACTATGGCAACAGTGTAACTGTTAGGTTAAAAATAAATTATTTTTAGTGATTTATTGTTGTTGTTATTGAATGAGTAGACGAACTTTGTCCTCATAATAGCATAAATGGGAATTAAAAATAGCATAGCGAATATTCACTAAGTTTTAACAATTTAAAGAATGATTTATTTTGCAACTTTTGTAACTTGTAACTAACTAAATAGATATCGAAAAATACCTCTCTCCTTTAAGGGGTGGGGAGCAAATTATGTTTAGCCTAACTGAATGTCAATGTCCAAAAAAAATAATAGGGTAAGACAATTTTTTGAATATTATGAAAACAATTTTAAATTGTTTTTATCATAGTTGAAATTGAATTTATCAGTTATATTTTAGTCATATAACTATGATATATAGTTACAACAAAAAAACTGAACAAAATAACAAAAAATGTTTTTCACGGAAGTTTTTCTAAAATGTTCAGCAAAAATCAGCTTCCCAATACTTTTCCATGAAACTGTCCATAATACCGGAAAATTTCTCGGAAATTTTTAATTCGGAAAATTTCTGGAAGTTCTCCGGACGTATTGGAAGTTTTCAAAGGTTAGCGAAAGATACTATGACTCAAAATGAGGTTTTGATTTTTTTTAAAAACGAAGACCAGATATATTACTGATTTGAGGAGAAATGTAGGGGAGTGCTGCTACATAGATTGACCTATACCTGTCTTAACCCAAACCCTCAGTCGATGTAGGAGCGTTCCCTTGCATGTTATTCCTAAATTAGTCAATGTAGAATTAAAAACTTCAGGGAAATTTTCATCAGTATCAATACTCTTTGAAGTAAAGGCGAATTATAAATTATTCAAATTCTTTTATTTAGAATTAGTATGGTTTTGTCAGCGTATTATGTCCAACTTTAGATCCTAGATCTAATCCGTCCTAGTACATATTATACTAATATAATAATTTCAAAATATTAGGTGTTACTTTTTACACCAGACTGAGTGAAACTACCAATTTCAACTGGCTAGTAACTCTAAACAAAATAGAGAAAAAACTCAAGATTCTGGGGCCACGTACTTTGTCACATAGATGAAAGACTATGTTGATAAACACGCTAGCAATGTCAAAATGTGGATTCTGGCATAAGTGTTGCCCATTCCTGATTGGGCAGAACGTTTGCACAGAGCCATTTTCCAAAATCTGTGGCACAAAACCAATTTCATTCTGATCAAGAGAGAAACACTTTTCTTACACATCAAAGGCGGGGGTCTCGGAATTTTATCTCTGAAGGAGCTAAGCCTTGCACTTCGAATCAAATACTCTTTCAACTAAAAGAATGCGGAGAGAACAAAACTCACGATTATTACTACTTTTCAAACTATTGATTGGAACCTTCACTTTCGATTTACGAACCAAAACCAAAGCTGGAACGTTTTAAGACGAAACAATTTTCCACTGGAACAACAAAATGTCTCAGTACAACAAAACAACAATTGAAATATTAAAAGGCAAAAACGGGTCCCTGTTTAACAATCCCCCTAAAATCAACAAAAAATTTTTACTTAGAAGTGGCAAAAAACAAAAAGACAGTTGTGCCAGCAAAACATTTCTTGAACGGTTCATGAAAAACAACAATGCCGTGGACCCAAATTTGGAAAAAAACTTTACCTCCCACGCATGCGAACCAACATAAAATTTGTTCTATCAATTTTTACACTGCAGTCTATCTTTTGCAGCCTTGCTAGCCAAAAGCAACAGATAGTTAAAAACAACAAATGGATAACATCCACATCTTTGCCTACTGTCCTCCTTCTGTTGAAATATGGGAGTATTTTAAACATATATATATATAACTCCTTGACACCCCAAAAAAAATTTTCTCTGATAAATTTCATCTTCTTGATTGAAACAACAAAGCAATCGGAGAAAAACCCTATTTCGCAACTGCTGTTTACACTCACTCAAACCATATCGAGTGCGATATGGAACGGCAGATGCCACCACATGTTTAACAATATAAAAACTGACACAATGACAGTGATCAAGGTAATAATAAGGAAGATCAAAAATAATATTTTTACTTTAAAATATAATTATCATGTCCGTAGAAACACTGCGGACATTTTCTGTCAACATTTTTGTATTAAGAATGTTTTTTGCCAAGAAGAGAATGGGAATTTTTTCACTCCAGCTTCTGTATCTAAAGTGATTTCCAGCTGTGTTCTCCAGAACTGTCGTCTATACTTTCAAAACTATTCAACAAGTGCTTATCAGAGTCTTGTTTTCCAGCCTGCTTAAAAGCGGCATCTGTTATCCCTATTTTTAAAAATTCTGGAGAGCAATCTAATTTGTCTAATTACCGTTCCATTAGTCTTCTTCCTGTCATAAGTAAGGTTTTTGAATCTGTAGTTAACAAAAACTTAATATCTCATGTTGAATCTAATAACTTACTTTCTGATCATCAATATGGATTTCGTTCTTCTCGTTCTTCGGCTGATTTACTAACAGTAATAACCAATAGGTCTTATCGTGCATTAGATAAAGGTGGAGAGATTAAGGTCATTGCTCTTGACATTTTTATAGCGTTTGATAAAGTTTGGCATGATGGTCTTCTCCATAAGCTTTCTTATTACAGTGTATCTGGTAACATCTTTAAGGTTATTGAATCCTTCCTTTCCAATCATAATATAAAAGTTGTCCTCAATGGACACAACTCTTCTTCATATTCTGTAACTTTAGTAGTTCCTCAAAGTTTAACCCTTTGTCCCATACTCTTTTTAATTTACATTAACGATCTTCCAGATATTCTTACATCTAAGGTGGCATTGTTTGCTGATGATACTACCGTTTATTTTTGTCATGATAAGAAGCCAACACTCTCTTTCAGCCAATCGATATCGCAATTATTTAGATCTTTCTATATATATGAACGGTAATGTACTCGATGAGTCATCTCTCCTTCACCTTCTAGAATTAACTCTTACCTCCAATCTTTCTTAGAAACCATATATCAAATCAATTGCAAAATTAGCATTTGCTAAGGTTGCTCCTCTTTATCAAGCTCGACACTTTCTTACTCCGGTTTCTATTCTCTATCTCTTTCAATCTCAAACCCGGCCTTGTATTGAATACTGTTGCCAAATCTGGGGTGGATCTTCTAATGATGCCTTTCCTCTTTTAGACAAGGTGCAAAAACGCATTGTAAACATAGTTGGACCTGCTCTTGCAGCCAAGCTCCAACCATTATCACATCGTCGTAATGTTGCTTCTCTTTCTCTTTTTTATAATGGGCACTGTTCTAAAGAGCTAGCGTTTCTTGTGCCATCTACTAAAATTCATTCTCGTGTTACTCGTCATTCAATTAAGTGTCATCCTTTTTCTGTGACTGTTCGTAAATTCTCCAAAAACTCTTATTTGTCGAGTTTTTTTCCTCGAACATCAGTTCTTTGGAATTCATATCCTTCATTTCGTTTTCCTGATTCATATAATTTGCAACCATTTAAGATGTCTGTCAATTGTTATCTTGCTCTTCAATCTTCATCTTTTCTTTTCCAGTAACTTGTTTCTCTAATTAGTGGTTGCTTGCAGCCTTGCTGGAAGCGAAGATGTTTATATATATACATACATACATACATATATATATATATATATATATATATATATATATATATATATATATATATATATATATATATATATATATATATATATATATATATATATATATATATATATATATATATATATATATATATATATGATTAACGATCATGTTTTATTTATTCAAATAAAGAAATTCTTTTTAAACCATACAAAATAAGTATTTATGTTACCCACAATATTATCAGTGCTATTAATAATGGCTGGTTTGAATTTATTATGACAATTAGTTTTTTAAATTAATAAAAAGTTCTAAAGGACACGCAGGTCCAAAAATGTGTATGATGTTTACACCTCCCCTGCAAACATTAATTTAGTGAATTTAAAGTGGACCTATATAGGCATTTTTGAGCGGTTCATTGGAGTTTTGCTTACCGGTTACTTAGTGGACCTGTATAGGGAGCCTCTATTATAACCCAGACGATAACTTTCCAACATGTTAAAAGTGGCAAGTCATTGGCTAGCCGCCTTTGGTGACTGCCGTTAATGATCCTTTAAGTAACGGATAAGCAAAACTTCAGTTGGCCGCTAAAAATGTTTATATAGATCCACTGAAACTCCGCTATAGAATGTTTGCTAAGTCATCTCCAAAATGATTTTTTTTAAAAGACGCGTAAGTCTAAAGTTTTATGTTCCTTTATTATATGTAACACATTACTAGTGAGAGCATAATTTTTTTTAAATGTTGTTTTAAATAGCACCCTTAAAAATAGTTATGCAAGTAATATGTGTTGTATTTATGTGCGTATAACTAAATAAAGTAATAAATATACATACAGATTAAAAAACAAAAAAAATTTATTATTGATATTACAAAAAATCTTACTAAAAGATGTAGGCTTGGAATGATGACTATCCATTATTGACCAAGGAAAAGGCATCACGTGATGAATGTGGCTTGGCTTTAGTATTGGTAAAGGAGGAGGAGAAGGTGGTGGAGAAGGATGCACTATTTCGAAACCATCTATATGCCAGGAAACAGGTATAAAATTTCCCAAATTTGAGGGTAAATATGCTACTGGAGGCGGCGGTGGTGGAGGCGGAGGATTTTGTTGGAAAGAATTTATTTTATTCCACGATAAAGGAACTAGCTGAAAGCCATTTGATATTGAAGGTGGTGCTGGAGGAGATATTTGTAAAGAGTTATCGGAAGAGTGTAAAGGGTGAACATGCCAGGCCAATGGAGAAACTTGTAATGGTGAGGAGCTTACTGGGATTGATGAGGAGGATACTGGTGGTGGTGGAGCTACTAATAGCAATGAAGGAGGCGGCGAGGAAACAGGAGGAAGTGCAGCAGGTAAAGGAACGGTTACTGTTACAGAGGAAGGCGGTGGAGCTATAAAAAAAGTAGGGGGACGAAGAGGAGGTGGAGGTGGAGGTGGAGAAATTACAAATGGAAAAGAATCAATAACACCATTAATACCACCACCTCCTCCATTCCCTCCTCCTCCTGCATTTAGACCAAAACCTCCACCTTGGCCTCCTCCAAAACCTCCTACCTTTCTATGATCATCACTTTCTTCTATTTCTTGTCGTCCTTTATTAAACAATGCAAGTTCGGTAGACGGTACATTTTTGTCTTGAGAAAAAGCAGAACTCTCTGGCAAACCTAAAATATGTAGTGGAACTCTTATCGACTCTTTGTCTGAATTTGCAGATGAAGGTTCTATTTTTTTAAGTTGATACAAATCTCCATTAGACGTTTTTTCTTGTGAATCATCGGATACTGGCATATGACGTAGAAGTTCTGATAAATATTTATTATTTTCACCAAAACTGTTTTGCCCTATAAAAAGAAACTTTTTTCAAATAATTTACGCATTCCATATAATTTAAAAATCTTAAAATAGTTTCACGTGCCTTGAGTAATAGTAATATTTGCTGGTATCACAATCTTTAAAGGTTCAGTTTCAATTGATTCAGCAGTGGACTGTTCTTCGGCTAATGGAGACAGCTGCACATTTGTCTCGGTATTCGAACTGAAAGATACTTGACCTAAGATGTTATAAAAATTGAATAAAAGTTTTCACTTTTAAAGTAACTTTGCGCTATAAAATGTTTTTTTTTCATAGTACTATGAAAAAATAGCATTTTGCGGCCGTGACGCAGTGGTTACAACGCTCGCAGGAGATCCAGGTTCGAAACGAGCTCTGGATATATTTTCGCGTCACGGTAAGAAAGAAGGCGTGAACTTCCTGGTTAAATGCACTTCCACGGTGCACCTAAATAACAACAACAAGAAAAAAATAAAATAAAAAATTAACGCTTTGAAATAATGTTAATCCGGAGAGCTATGCGTTGAAAATTTCCAGAAATGTTATGCATTCTTTTAAAGCAATAGCTTATTTTACTCGCAAATAAAATAATTCTTTAAAAAAACCTTTGCAATATTAAGAAAAATTTAAAACTTTAAAAGTTTTAAATATTTCCTAATATTTCTTAATAAAGTAAAAAAGAACTTTTTTCATAAAAAACTATTTTAACGTTTTGAAATCGCTAAGCATAAAAAAAGTACAACGAATTTATTTTACAAAAAATAAACTTTTTTTAGTTTATTCGGCTATATGTACTTTATTGAGGTGTAACTTCGTTTTTACCTTCTTTATTTTAGTTTACCTTCTCTACCCTAAGCACGCAGAAAATTACTGCAATGCAAGATCTAAAAATATACACGAATGTTTATATTTTTAGATCTTACAAAGTCTTAATCTCTTCAGAAACGACCCAAAAATTTTTTCGAAGGGTGATTCTATAAGTATTGGCGATACTTTAAAGCAAAAATTAAGACCTATTAATTACGTTCGCAGGAAGAAATTGCATTTAAAGCTAAATACACTAAAAACCTTTATTTTAAAAATGTCAAAAGTCACAAAACTTTCTCAAGCCTTAAATATTTCAAAATTAAAGATCATTTTATTGTCAAAATTAGGTTAATTAAGTATTTATGTATATATTTCAATACTCATAAAAAATCAAAAGAAATTGGCATTAAATTTGATACTTCAACATAACAGTCTTTAACGTACAACTTTTTCAGAAACATGTGTATATATTTGTAAATATATACAGCGTATATTTTTGTGTATGTGATTACTTATTTTTGTCAGAATGTCTACTTACAGTCTCAAATTTTGATTGGTTAAAACTAATTAGCTGTTCAGTGTGTATTATACTAATTAGTTATTCCGTGTATATTATAGACTGAATAACTAATTAGCTTTAACCAGTCAAAATTTGAGACTGTAGGTTGAAATTCTGACAAAAATAAGTAATCACATACACAAAAATATACTTCTACTGAGATTTTTCAGCTGATCAGGATGATGAAAGGTTGCGGATATAGACAGTTTCAGGGAAGACTATTGTATTTTGATTCAATATATATTAAGCTGAACCTGTGACAGATTTTCTTTGAGTTTTGATTTTACATTAAAGTTGTTCCCAATACCAATAGAATTGCTCCAACGAATTTTTTAGGTTGTTTCCAAAGAGGTTAAAACTTCTTTTTGGGCAACAGTGTATACACGATAAACATTTTTAATTTTAATAATATACTTATTTAACTTCTTCAAAAGTTTACAAAAATAATTATAAATTTAAGTTTTAACTAAAATCGCATGATAAAAATTTTTACATGAGAGTAAACTGTGTAAGATATTTTTTCATCATATATAAAGTAGTTATATAGTTTTTGTCATTCTGTTGGTCTAAATGATCATACGATGAGAATGGTGATTATACTAATTTCCGGTCTATTTTTTTGCTCTTTGTAAAGTTTTAGTTTATATTTTAGTTTAAAATAAACTTTTAATAGAATTGGGGTTTACTAATAGAAGTTTGATTTTAAAAGACTGTCCCCTTGTCAGCCCTGGGTGCTTCGAGCCAGTCAAAACAAATAAGTAACTGTTTCAAAACAATTTTGAAACAATTACACAATTATTTTATTCATTAGATCTGGAGGAGGCGGTTGAAATAGCGTTTTATTCGAAATCTTTAAAGATTTATTAGCTGACCTTTTAATTAAAGCTGACTTATGTTTATTTTCTCAAACTAAGGGTTTTCTGAATTGATAATTGCATAAATTGAATCTTATAAGTTCCTGATGCTGTTCATTTATAAACGTAATGAAAGCATATACAATTAAAAACAAAGTTAGTTAAGTTGTTGAAAAAAACTATGGTTTTTATATTTTATAGGGTATCTCCTCAAATGTGGAAAATCTATTAATCCCATCCAAAGTTATACTATTTTGGAGACCTTAACTTTGAAACTTTTAGATGTTGAAAAAAGTTTCTGTGAACATAAGCGTCATAAGATCCAATAGGTAAAGTTTTCTTTTCCAAAATTTTGGAGAAATGTTTTTTCTTAGTTGTAACAAAAGTTTTAATAAAAGAAATACACTTTTTTACATTAGAATGGTTACTTGCTTTTGAATATAAAACATTTTTGTAGTAAAGCAAATAGTATAAGTTATTCTCCATTAAAGATAAAGGGAAAAAAAAAGTTTTTGTGAATTTGTTTTGTATACTTTAACTGCCTAAAATTCTTTCATAGAATAATTAAAAGTTGGAAACATATTTTTTTAAACATGCTTTTTAATATAAGATTTGTGATTTAAAAAAATATACTTTAAATTGTAAAATAAAAAACATTTATGCAATCCAACTGATGTTTTTTTTTTTTCGTTTATAATGCAGAAATTTTTACTTTATTTAATTATTTTTGAGTTTATAGTTAGGGAAAGACGGGGCAAGAAAGCGAGTATTTTGAAAACTCTGAGTTATTGTAAAACTATCGGTCATAAAGTAATAACACTTTTTCACTATTTTTATGTTATTATAATGATTGCATAAAATTTCAGTTTGCAAGTATAAAAATTTGAAATAAAAATTAAAATAAAAAGTTCATAAATTTGTCATCTGGTTACGTGACCGAAGCAAGATGACTTGTTATGAGATTTCTGCCACAATTTTTTAAAATTACCCTATTTACCATTTACTATCCATTTGATATACTTTTGCCAAATGAAAAAGTATCATAATGTAACATGATGATAAAAGTTTTTTGGATATTTGATTTGTGTGACCACAAAGTTTGGAAATGTTGGCCTGATCTTGTTTTTGAAAATTTCATTGGCAATGAACTTTAACCCTAGATTTGTATACCTTTTTCACAACACAAAGCAAAAATGGTCATGTTAAACCTAAATTTTTTAAAAAATTTTAAAATTGAAAGAAATACCTTCTATAAACCACTACAATTTTTAGCATTAACAAACCTATGATTCAATACTTACTTCTGAATAACCAAAAATATGTTTTCTTCGCCACCCCAAACAAAAATATATTTTCTTCGCCACCCCAAACAAAAACTGCAAGTTATGTATAAAAAAAGATGCCTCTTTGATAAAAAGAACTTTCTTTTTTTTTTTTGGATTTCAAAGAAATTTAGGAATTGATGCTTAAACTTTAAGAAGATTTTTTATTTGTAAATCATTTTGAAACCTTTTTTTTTAACTTTAAAAAAATTAAATTAAAAAATATATATTTGTCTGACGCAAAATATTGATCGAGATCTTGCTTTTCAAACTGCAAAGGAATTATACTAATTTAGTTGTTTTCCATGAAAATAATTCTGTTTGATCTTTTCTAAGTTTGTCACGCTGTGACTTGTCACGTCGTCACACTTATAGTAACATTTTTTATTCTAGCAAGAGAATATTTAGTTATTTTAAAAAAGTATTTATTAACTACATGTAATTAAAAAAAAAGGCGATAAAAATGAGCATTTGTTTAAATTTATAGTTTTTGTGTTATATGTCTTAATTTTATGTCGCGTTCAAAAAATGTCCACCTGAAGCGGTTTGTATTTTTGAAACCACGATACTTTGTTCAATTATAATCTAAATTTTAAAAATATTTTGTCGACGACGAAAAAAAAAGGACGTTAGACGGGTTGGTCTTGAAATTTTCTGTGTTTAAGATAAATAACTTCGAGAGATGGTACAAACGTTAAACTTTGTAATATTGATTCTGGTATAAAATAAGAATGTTTTACATAAAAATCACAACGATTGGAGCCTGGGAACAATATATACCTGAAAAATCGAGATCCACTGTCCTAAATGTTAGGGGGGGGGGGTGAAGAAAGTTTTTTTTCTGTAGAATCTTAAAATAGATTAAAATTCATTAAAAAAATTAATCTATTTAAAAAATATATATATTATCAGTTATAATAATCAGTTTTAATAAAGATAAATGTAAAATCATGCATTTTGGTCGTGATAATCCGAAAATAAAGTATAATTTAAAATATAATGCTACAGAAACAGAGATTATTCAACATGGACTAATAGTAACGTCATTGGAAAGAGACCTTGGTGTTTATATTTCAGACAATTTAAAATGGGAAGACCACATTGAAAAAATGGTAAGTAAGGCAAATCAAAAATTGGGTATGTTAAAGCACGCAATCCTCTATCCAGATGAAACATCAACAAAATTGTTATATATGTCACTCGTTCGGCCACACTTAGAATATGCTTTTCAAGTGTGGAACCCATATTTTATTAAAGATATAAACTTAATAGAAAAAATTCAGCAAAAAGCTACAAAATTTGGCTACAAAAAAAAGAAAGACAGTTACGAGCAAAGATTAGAGAAAATGGACTTACAAAATCTATCAAAGAGAAGGGAAAAAGGTGATCTTATCCAAATGTACAAATTCATGAACAAAATTGATACTATCAATTGGCATCGTGAACCAGAAGTATTGGGTAGGCTAACTAGAGGACACAATCAAAGGTTGCGAAGGCAGTATGTTCAAAACTTTTTGCCGAGGCATCATTTCTTCACGAACCGTATAGTTGAAAATTGGAATCGTTTGGACAGTGAAATTGTTAACGCTAATTCAGTAATTGATTTTAAAAATAAACTTAAAAAGTTTAGCGAAAAACAGTTGTTAAAATCTAACATCTACAGTTGTTAGATTCTTTC